CCCATCGCCGCCAGCCTGGCTCGCCGATTGGTCGACCAGGCCCCGGTGCCCTCGACCAATCAGAAAGGACGATGGAGAGCGGGGGCGGAAGAGCGAAGGAAAAGGGGAAGCGAGAGGCGCTATGAGGAAGGGCCTTGGGGGAAGGTTGCGCTGGGAGGGGCGCGGCGGGGGCCGGGCAGGGATGGACCACGTGCCTCCGGAGCTGGGGCGAGGGAGCCCAGAGAATTAGATCTGAGAGGTGGGAAGGGAGGGGCTTGTTGGTCCCAGTTCTAGGGGCCGGCCCAGACATCTGGGGTACAAGATAGAAGCCGAGTTAAAGTACGTTCTTTCTTCTGTGTTGCTCCCTCTCTTCCTGGGCATTACTTGCGCGCTCCGCTAGCTTTGCAGGAAGTGGAAGCTGCGCCTCGGCTTCTCGCCGGTCGGAACACCCCCTTGGTCCTGGTCCTGGTCCTGGTGCTGGTCCCATTACCTAGCTCCGTTACCAGGCAAGGGGTGCCTGCCTTCCGAGGGCCGGGCCTGGGGCCTGGGCTGGCCATGGTGACTGGCGTTCCGGAGGTGCTGCGGGAAGCGGAGGGACGGTGGGCGGAAAATGACGCGTTCGGCAGATCTGATTCATCCCCTCTGACCAAGTCCCCGCAACAGGTAGAAACTTGGGAAGCACTGATGATCACCCGCTAGGCATTTCGTTCTAGAAAGTTAAAGTGGCCACTTGGCCGCCGAGCACTAAGTTCCGTAAGGCGGGGACCGTAGCACCTGACAGTCACGAAATATTTTTAACTGTTGAGAAAGGAAATAAATTCCATGGATTTACGTCTTTATCAGGAATGTTATTGCCAGAGGTAGAAATAAAACAAACTACGAAAGAACGTACTCAGATATCTCAGAAAATGGGAGAAATGGTTAAAAATATATTTACCAACTAATAACACTTCAAATGTGCAGGAAAACGAGGTACTCAGCAGCAACTGAGGTCGGAAGGAAAGTGTGTGTGTGTGTGCATGTGTGTGCCTGTGTGTGCGTGCGCGCGTATGTGTGTGTGCGTGTGTGCCTGTGTGTGCGCGCGCTCGGGGATGTGTTTAAATTTGGCGAGTTAGGGAGGGGAAGATGACTCTAATTTAAACTCCTTTGTGAACTTTTACTCCTCGTCCCCTTCTCTCCATATATATATATTTTAGTAGGACAACGTGCAGAGATAAAACGTTTAAAATCAGAATAATACCTTTAAAGTCGATATTTTTTAAATATATATTTTATTGATTTTTTACAGAGAGGAAGGGAGAGGGATGGAGAGTTAGAAACATCGATGAGAGAGAAACATCGATCAGCTGCCTCCTGCACACCCCCTACTGGGGATGTGCCTGCAACCAAGGTACATGCCTTTGACCCGAATCGAACCTGGGACCCTTAGAGCCCGCAGGCCGACACTCTATCCACTGAGCCAAACCAGTCAGGGCAAGTCCTGGATATTTTTTATACTTTGAGCTATCTAGGCAAACAGAAGCTATATCTGGAAGTAATTCACACTGAAGGTTAGTTTGAATGTAAATTCAGTGCTGATTTTAAATTTAAATGATAATGTTTGTTATAAATCTTTATAACCCAGAGTCATTTAATTGAAGTAATATTGCACACTGGAGCACTGATGTTTTCAAAATGTGTTAAGGATAAGAAAATTCAGTGGAAAAGCTGGAATATGTGTGTTCCACCAACATGGATTTTGTCATGTGCAGAATTCAAGAAAACAAATGACTAGTGAATTCCTACCCTATAATTAGAAGTTCTCTCGCTAAAATGGGTGTATAGACAAATATTTTGTACTTTTTGGAATAAATTCCATGATAGCTCTCATGATAAAGGCTATTAAATTGTCTACCATTATATGTCTTCAAGTCTCCCAGCTACAACGGATTGTCTCTGATGATTAAATGACAAGGGAGCGTCTCTGCAGAATACTCTTAAAAGAAGGGTGTGATCACAGTGACCTACTGAGAAAGATGCAAAACAAACAGGAAATAACCACAACGTGTAATTTCAGGTCTTTTAAAAAAATTATTTGTTTAATGTCTAAGGCAGTGGTTCTCAACTTTTTTTTGGCCATGCCCCACCTAAGCATCTCTAAAATCCTGATGCCCCCCCCCCGTGACATATAATTCTTATTATTCAAAAAGTGAACTCCTATTCACATGGAGGAAGCTTAAAAGGGCATTAACTTGGTCTAAACAAGCTTCCAAAGAACATGGTATCCATGAAAGAGAAAATTAAAAGAAGAAAGGACAGTTGAAGTATTGAGGAAGAAATCACTAATAGTTAAAAAAAATAATAATATGAAGTGATATGAAAAAATAGCAAATAAAGTTTTAAAACATAATAGAGAACTGAAATGCATAAATATGTCAAAGTATATACTTATATACTGTATATGAGGCCCCTAGAACCATAAGAAATGCAAAAAAATTCACTGTTAATAACTCATTCTCAAATTGCTCCCCTTAAAAATCAAATTGCCCTCCAGTGGGGCATGTGCCCCATGTTGGGGACCACTGGTCTAAGGCCTATCTTCCTCTCTAGGCAATAAGCTCTCTGAAATCAAAAACCATATTTGTTTTTCTATGTGTACCCAGCACGTGGTAGTACATGGCACATTGTATGTCCTCTGTGACTATTTGTCAAATGCAAGACCTGACTCTAAGCTACTCTGAGTGTATGTTCCATAAGTTTAAAAACAGGCTAATACTTCTTGATTAAAAATATGGATTGAGTTGTTACTGCTTCTAATTTACACTGGGTTCCTTCTAAGAATTCTTAATTTGGTATCATGCTCATTCCAGGGTTAAGGTTCAGGGAGTAGACCAAACATGGGTTTCAGTGCAAAACCCTCCACTCCCACTACATGTTTAAAAGTAGTCGTGACACACTTTGCTAAGATGAACAATTATCCTTAATTATAATGGTTAGATAGTCTGTTTGCTGGCCTAAATTTTTCATTTGAAATTAGCATGTTTTTCTATCCAGTTTACCTGTTTGGTGGTTGTACTTCCAGTTGTTCTAGATAGAAGATACATAATTTATCAGAGGAGTAAGGAAGTTCATCCAGGATTGGTTATAGCTCTAAATGCAGATTGGCAACCTAATTGGCAATAGAAGGTAGCTCTATCTGTAGTTTGGAGATTTCAAAAATTCAATTTGCTGAACTAAGAAGGTAGTAGTAGTAGTATTCAGTCATCGATACCATTTTAACATGGACTATTTAACAAATGCTCCTTGTATATATGAAACATAATTATAACCAAACACTATAAAACCTATACAGGCATACCTCAGCAATATTGTGGACTTGGTTACAGACCACTGTAATAAAGCAATTATCACAATAAAGCAAGTAAATTTTTCTTTTTTGCTGGTGGAGGGTCTTGCCTTTAATTTGTAAAAAACACAACACCTGTGAAGCGAAATAAAGTGAAACATGGATAAAAGGAGGTTTGCCTGTATATGAGACTTACTTTCAAATAGATGTTCATATCCTGAGTTGTTACTACTTTGGTATAAGAAAAGTCTAAAGTATTATGAAGATAACTAGAAGCCTGATGCACGAAAAATTGTGCAAGAGTTGGCCTTCCTGCCCTAACCGGTTTGGCTCAGTGGATAGACATCGGCCTGCAGACTGAAAGGTCCCAGGTTCGATTCCGGTCAAGGGCATGTACCTGGGTTGTGGGCACATCCCCAGTAGGGGGTGTGCAGGAGGCAGCTGATCGATGTTTCTCTCTCATCGATGTTTCTAACTCTCCCTCTCCCTTCCGCTCTGTAAAAAATCAATAAAATATATTTTTTTTAAAAAGAGTTGGCCTTTCTTCCCCCAGCTGCCGGCACCCGGGCTGGCTTCCCTGGGGGCCCAGCTTCGTCAGGAAGGACATCTGGAATGATGTCCGGAAGACATCCAGTTATTACCCTTTTATTATTATAGATTGCTTTCAATGTGTCACGAAATTCTCTTAGAGTCACTTTTCTGAATAAAGAAACTTTCTGTGTTCTGTAGGAGAGATTTGTGAGAGCAAGATTTGTGAAGTTTTACACTGGATTTTAGTTGAACAAATGTAACTTCAAAAAATTATAATTGATAATTATTTCACTTAAGCAGTTTGAAGCACTCTCATGATTTGTACATTAAATTGAAGATTATGAAATCCCTCTCTATCTGGACTATGAATCTTACAGTTTCTGTCACTGTTTGGGGGATTATATATGATTTCTTGAGCAAAACTCTAGAATTATTTGCTGAAACAAAAAGCAATTTTATATGTTGCTAACTCTTACTAAAATGTAATTGTGTTTTTTATAGTTGGACTGGTTCTTTTTTTTAGATAAAAACATTGGGCCTTTGGTAATATAGTATACCTTTATTTTCTTAGGAAAATATAGTCGATCAGTTATTGGGGACTTCATTTATTCTTCTTCATTGTCAAAAATTTCTGGCTTACAACTTGAGGAGCCTGGGAAAAATTACTTTATTTTGAGTGAAGTAACTGAATGGTAAGAGACGATGATTTAAAAGTCTAGCTGTTGATATTAATGTCATTGAAATAGATGAACCACTTAGTTTTTCTTTGACTTAGTTTTTTCAAGCTTAGTTTTGACTAATAAATTGGAGAAAAACTTATAATTTATGTGTACAAGTTATTGGTTGATATCTGTTTTTATTGCTACTAGGCAAACAAGCATAGATTTTCAAAAGCTTTTTTTCACTTGCTTTTTATTTGGGCCTAAAATATTGGAAAATGAAAGGATATACTATTCATTTTTAATTTTTAAAATATAAATACCATAGAAGGAGCAACTTAAGAAGCCAAATAGTCAAGGAGACTGATCACATGACCTAGAGCAGTGTTTCTCAAACAGAGAATCTCTTAGAACTAGATGTTTGTAAGAGTTCCTTAAATCAGAAAGGATATATGCACCCCTATGTTCATAGCAGCACAGTTCACCATAGCTAAGATCTGGAAACAGCCTAAGTGCCCATCAGTAGATGAATGGATTAGAAAACTGTGGTACATCTACACGATGGAATACTATGCTGCTGTAAAAAAGAAGGAACTCTTACCATTTGCAACAGTATGGATGGAACTGGAGAGCATTATGCTAAGTGAAATAAGCCAGTCAATGAAGGAAAAATACCACATGATCTCACTCATTTATGTATAATAAAGACCATTATAAACTTATGAACAAAAATAGATATAGAGGCAGAGCAGCCTCGAACAAACTGTCAAACTACAGCGGGAAGGCCGGGGAGGGTTGGGGGGCAGGAGGGGAGGGTAAGAGATCAACCAAAGGACTTGTATGCATGCATGTAAGCATAACCAATGGACATAAGACACATGTTGTGTTAATAGCATCAACCAGGTATAGTGACTTACAGATGGGTGGTATTGCAAAAGTTCTCTTACAGATTAGTTCTTTGAAATATGTTCGTAAGAACATGGACATGACCAAGGGTAGATATTCAGGTTAGCCCACAAAGGCTTATTTAATTGTAAGTACTTATATGAACATCCTACAACCTAGTCACAAAAATATGGCAATATTCCCACGAGGAAAATATTCAGATTTACAACTTTTGTCAGCAGGAGTACACCCCATGTCTTTGTTATTTGTATTTCTGCAATTATATAACAGATAACCAGGAATTGTGTTGGTGATGAAGTTACCAAGATTACATTGTTCCTTGCACCTAGAATTCTAGGGATCAAACATTTTACAGTCATACCTGACCTGATGTCATGGGAGCCTGGCCTAGCCCTCACCAGTCAGGCTCCCATGGTTTCCAGTAGCCACACTGGTAGAGGAACGTTAGAATTCTAGTGACTGGGAAATAAGGGACTGGGGAGTAGAAGGGTTATAAATCCCAAACATTCTCTTGCCCAATATTCTCACTTCAGGCAAACTCCTTACCCCTATCTTTAAAAACAGAAATACCCTCAGTCAGCCCCCAACCCCCCTGGTAGCATCTCGTATAACTATAGTACACTGTCACAACCAGGAAATTGATATTGATGCAATCCATAGAGCTTATTTAGAGGGGAGGGAGGACATTAGAATGTAAAGAAAGTATCAGGGGTTGCCTATATACTGGAACCTCTGATAACCCTATGCTTTATGAGAAAGAGTTTTATGACAGTAATAATAATTATTACCACATATTGAGTACCTACCATATTCTCAGTCTAGGTGTTTTATCTGTGTGAATTATTCTGTTATTATTGTTATTTGTATTTCTACTATTATAAACAGATAACAAGTATGGAGCAATTATGTGGTAGAAAGTCTTCTAAGCAATTGATATATATTAACTCATTGAATCCTCACAAGTATATTATTACTCACTTCACAGATGAGAAATTCAAAACAGATTTGGTAATTTGCCCAGGATCACAGTAAATACAAGAGCTGACATTTGAACTGGGTCTGACACCAGAGCCAGCACTCCTGATTACTATGTAGGTACATAAATTTCAGTGTTCATGGTAACCTTTCAAGATAGGTATGATCACGTCCATTTCCTAAATGAGGAACCTGAGCTGCAGAGAGGCTAAGCAACTGCTCAAGACCCTACACAATGAACAAGTGCTAGAGCCCCAGTTTGATTCCAGGTCTGACTAACTGCAGAACCCTCACCATTTTTAGTTGACCATTGCTATGGACTGAATGTTTATGTACCCTCTCCCCCCAAAATCATATGTTGAAACATCATCCCCGATGTGAGGGTGTTTGGAGTAGGGCACCACATCAGCCATCGCCTTGAACTTGAACTTCTTAGCCTGAAGAATGTGAGAAAGAAATTTCTGTTTTTAAGCCACCCAGTCTATGGTATTTTGTTATAGCAGCCTGAACAGACAGAACAATTATACTGCCTGACTGGCTTGTAACAGATCTGTGCTGGACCTCTGTGATATTGTGATTTATATAAAGAAATACATATTTGGTCTTCTTCCATGGTTTCTTGCACATAGCATCTAAAACTTTTATAATTTCCTAAGTGATA